TATTGTAATTGAAGTTTCACAAGTGAGTGTAGATTAAGAATTGCTCACAACCTCGCTTTATAGCCCTATGCCTCTCTTTCCCACACTTGAATATTTGACAATCAAAATTTCTCTCTCCTAAAGCTGATGAATGAGTAGCAAAATCTCTCAAGTGAAACCTCTTAGTCTGAAACTTCCTTCTCTTAATTGAGGGGTGATACTGTCTGCTAGTTTTTTCGTCTTTTTTTTCTCATGACAGCATGAGCTTGTCTAGATGAAGTATTAGAATTATAGAATGCTATCAAGTCATTCCAATGCAAGTTAGTTTTAAGCTATTTAACCATATAAGGAGAGGGGATTGAATAGTTTTCTTATCTACGCATAGTTGTTCCTCACACCAGTACCTCAGTAGATGAGTATAAATTAGAACAATGAAGATGCCTTCATAATCTCTTAGAAGGGGTAAATAATACCTTATTAATTTGCTTGGGCCTCTTTCTCGGCACTAAGTAAGAGCCTTGGCATAAAGGTTGTAAATAAAAATTTAATTCATAGGCCCGGTGATGGGAGGCCTATATTAACAGACTAGTTGGCCTCCTAATCTAGTATAAGTCATTATCAAAAGTGATATCTGCTGTCCTAGAACTACTTACATGTCTTAAGAACTACAATGGCCCTTGGTTGAATGTGTCAAAAATTTGATTGCAATTGTGTTGTGAATGGCCAACCACCCCACATCGCCAATCCAGGTGATGTGCCCCACAAGAAAAGTTTGTCAAACTAGATCACCAAAATGTAATCAAAAAATAAAAAATTGTCCTAACTTGTGATTCATTGGTATGGTGACTTCAACCTGAAAACCTTCATGATGAAAATCACTTGTTGTATCAAAAGTTAGAAAAAAGCCAAAATACTTTGCAATCTCCTCTTTAACTTGCTTGGTGTAGTAATCTAAGGGTAATTCCAAGACAAAAACCTAAGCATGCACATGCGTAAAAGAAAGACACGAGAAAGGTATATCTGGTAGCTACTTCGAAACTACAGAAAGCATGCCTTGAAGAACCCATGTTTCTTGATGTAAGTTGAAAGATCAATCAAGAGATTTTTCAAAATAAAGGACAAAGGAGTTTTCATATTGCTACTAGATGTGCTTCAAGAGAAAAAGTTATTTTCCTACCATGAAAAGAGAACAAAAAAGAGAATGAAAAAGGAAGAGCACCTTAAAAAAAAAAGGTAAGGATTAAGGTGTAAATTTATCCTGAAAGTTTTTGCTTAGGAGCATTGGATACCTAAATACTTTTTTTGGGGCTAATTTTGCTCTGAAATATTGGTCGTTGACCTTAAAAAATGTTAATAGTTAATATCACAGTCAACATAAGTTTTTGAATGACAAAGTAACATTGCTATGAAATTCCTGGCACCTAGTGTTTCTGAGTGGAAGTTTTTAAGACAAATTTGCATATTAACCCATATATTAATAATACTACCTCTAGTCTTAATATAAGGCCCAATTGATTCATAGGCACTAAGATCAACCTCAAAGAGTAGATATGTATTCAAAACATGATACTTGGATTTCACACCTTGATTCTAACCTTTAGTCAGTATATCGATATTATCTTTGAGCTTACAATGAATTTTAGAATGATTCTTTTTGCATTTGAAACTAGACCCAAAGAGCTTTCCAAGAATAGGTCATTTACCAAATTTGGAGCTGGATTGCAGAAGCTATGTCTGATCCAAAGTTGACCTTTGTGTCAGAATATTCCGAGTATATACTCTAAGTTCAGTACAAGTAAAAAATGACTCAAATGCTATCTGAGTCATACTTAGTTTTTCAAATTATAAACTTTTAAGCTAACTCCAATATATTGAAGATTTACTCCCAGTCAAATCTGACTGTAATCCCATATGAGTTAAAAGCTCCAAAAGTTTATTCTAATGACATGAGTCAATATTCTTATGAATTGGAAATCAAGCCAAAACTTCTCCTACATGAGTCAAATATCATCAAAAGTATATTAAAACATCTAATGACATGTTTTGTAGTATATTAGATGAAGATTAGAGTTCAATGGATGTATAACGTTTATCTAATGGGAAAAATCTAACAGCCATATTTATAATGGGAAAAAGAAAAAGCTCAATGGAAAAGAGAATATGCTCAATGGACATTATCTATAAATACAAGAGCATTCAAAATACAAGAAGATAAAGCTAGTGCTTTAAAGTACCAACATGCTAAATAGCTCCAAGGTGATACTCCCTTATTGTGCTTCAGAAATTATGTACATATGTAATTATGAGTTAGAAGAGAATTTCTAAATGTACTTAATTTTTTAATCCCTTCTATGAGAGTAGATTAATATGCCTCTATGTATTTATCAAAGAGGTTGTTACCTTGCAAGTCATAAGGAAAAAATATATTGCCTCAGGTGTGGAGGCGTTGTCTTCGGTGTTGAGGTGGTTATAGTGGTTTTAAAGTACCCATGTCAAACTTGAGGAATATAGTAGATTGAAAATCTCAGAAATGTTTTGAAAACTAGATGTAGGTCTGTGAAGATATCGAACTAGGATAAATCGCATTTTACATCTTATCTTTATTAGATAAGAAGATCACCTAACAAGGGGTGAATTAGGTGATAATTAAAAATTTAAAAGTTTCTTGAATAAAAGGAATTGAAATGAGAGTAGAGTTAGAACAATATCACCAAAGGAAGAGCACAACACAGATTTATACTAGTTGAGTCTACCATTTAACCTATATCTAGTTCTCAGAACATCTTTGAGTATTCTACTATAATCTCAAAGATTAAATAGGCTCTTGGTGCCTAGTACAACAATTGTAATCTCTCAATTACTCTCTCTTACTTACCATAAAGTTATAATATACTCAATATTCCCATGATCTTGAGTAACTCAAAGATTGAATAATGAGTGATTATGAATCTCTCTCACAGACTGTAATAAATAATTACTAAAGCACAATGAATAAATTAGAAAAACAAAGCAATAAATGTGAATAATGAATTTTGCAGCGCGTGGTAGTTCGAGTTGTTGTTCACTTTATTGAATGCTTGCTCTATTTATAGTTGATCTCCAAATATATCTGTTAGACTCAATGGCTTTGTATTCGTTGAAGTAGAATAGCATAGATTGCAACAATTGGGTGCATTTAATCCTCCTAGCAAAAAGTCAATCCTTCATGTCATTTTTCTTTTGAGCCTTAATTTTGCAATTAACAAGCTTCATGACAAGGAATGAATTGTTTAAGAATAGATATGTGTGTGTGTGTGTGTGTGTGAGAGAGAGAGAGAGAGAGAGAGAGTTAGGAAGCTTTAATATGAGAGACCCAAAGATTAATTATTGTAATTGAATCAAAGAATAAATCTGACAAACAAAGTTATAGCTTTGACTTGAACACGTACATGAGTGAACCTTTGAAACAACTAGCACTTTATTCTTGGAATAAAGAAGGAAAAAGATTTTATTCAAGTAAGGCTTGAAGCACTAGTTTAGATTTTCAAATAGACAAGCACCCTTAACTTGATGTAGCTTTGAAATCAATCTTGTTTAAACTGAATGTCTCGAATAAGTATTCGAGTACTTAGAAGAAAAACTTTTAAAAGCTTCAACACTTATTTGAAAGATATTTCAAATTTAAATGCAAAAGTGTTTGACTCAAATAGGATATCGAAAAAAAGCATTTCTATTAATGATACCTTGAACCATTTATTTGAATACTACTTAGAATAAAAAGTGTGACAAAGTTGACTTGAAAATGGTACTCGAATAGAGTTGTATGAAAGCTTTGAAGACATGTTCCATGTTCTGGAAGGTTTCAATACTTAGTTTCAAATTTGACTTGAAGAGGTATTCGAGTAACTTTTATTCGAATAAGCACTTGACTAACAAACAGAATCTGAACTTTAAAGGTTTTCAGAACAATTACTCAAACAAAAATTAGAATAAGACTTTTGGCAAAAATTGACTCGAGGCTTTATTCGAATAAATGTGAAAGAAAATCTTGAACACTGAAACACTTAAAGATTAAGCTTTTGCAACTTGACTTGGAGTCAGATATTAGATAAAATTGCAAAGTTATTCCAATAACATTTTGAATAAATAGGCTTTTAATAAACTTTGAATATTATTCAAATGAGTCATCGAGTAATTAAAACTTGTATTTGATCAAAATAATAAAGTTAGGTTCCTAAAGAGAGTGTATTTGAATAAATCAAAATCTAAGAGAAAATATCACTCAAATAACAAAGTTCTTAGACCAGAAAACCATTTTACTCAAATAAGGACTTGACTAATTCAACCTTTTGGCAATAATTTCCTTATTTGAATAAAACTTTGAATAATACCCTTTGAAAACTTTGAATAGAGGAATTTTGATACTGAAAATATTTTTAACTTTCAAATACTCTTTTGCCATTATCAAAACATTAATTCTAACACTCTTCCTTTGCCACTTTATAATTCGAGCTAATCCTTTTTATATATTTGTTTGAACTTTGTTGTTTATTGTTTTTATAATCAAAGTTTCTTATTACTTTCTTTGCACTGTGAAAAAGTTTTTAAATCTTATCTAACACCCAATTCACCTTTTTTTGGGTATTCAGCCATACTAAAAAGTTTAACTACTTAATTTTTATATATGAATATAGTTGTGCCTATGCTTGGCTTGTTATTATGTTATCATACATGTTAAGTGTTTTAATGATATGATGAAGTGAACTTCCATGTGATTATTTTCTAGGTTAAGCATTAATTTAAAAAGAATGAGGTACATTAATCCAATCTAATTGTATCATTGACTCCTATATTGGTTTGAATTAGGATAGTTACCTGACCAATCTTAAGAGGCCTCATCATGTCATCTTTAGTCTAATTCCATTTATTCACTCATTTTTATACTAAAAACACAAAAAGTTAGCACATATTTAATTCCATTGCATTTATTTTAAGAAATTGGAGAGTTGGGTTATAAAATTTTAATAAAAAAATATATAAAATAGGGTGAAAAGACAAATTTACCCATTATAATATTAAAAAAGAACATCAGACATCGTGATAAATATCAAAAGTGAAAATAACCATGATGATTCAAAAAGGCCTTAAAACGTCACTGCCATTAAATTGAGTAACGTTTACTGCTTAAAAAAGAACATTGCGACTAAATATGCTGATGGGAAGATATATGTGGCATAATAACATCTGAATTGGACATAAATATATCAAGTGTAGAAATTCTTCCTCTCCTCTGTCATCATCGCCTTTCCTGCCATCAGAGCATCACCATCATCATCCTGGGTGGTTGACTAAGGGTAGCATTGCCAGCCCTCATGGCTTTCGATTCCAGCTTTTGTTGCCTCACACCTCGCCTTAGACAGAGAATGAGAATGTGAGAACTGAGATCGAAGATTCAGACTACGTAAGTCCTAACTTTTGACAACAAAAGTTGGAGTCTTCTAGAGAGAGAAAGATCCACGGAGTTTCAATCAGACTTCAAAGATAAGAGATTCATAAAAAAGAGAAGTAGAAGGCCCATTCAAGCAACCATTTTTCCATTATCTCGAGATTGTGGGCATTCAGGATAACAGGGAAATCAGGTATGGTTTTGCTTCTCTCACCCTCAAACCTCAGCAATCGAAGAAATCAAAGATGAAAATAGATTTGGAAAACTCACCTTAATTGAGTTTAAGTATTGCACGTACGTAGCAATCAACGTCTCTCACTTCTTCTTTTCCTCTGCCGACCTCTCTTAGTTTAGTGGTTGGCTGCCATTTTTGCATAGCATCTAAAAGCTTCGACGCTTTCTCCAATCGGGCAACATTTTTTTCGTGTGGGAGAGTGTGTGAGGGGATAAGGAAGTGTGTAGTGATGGGTCTCCTTTGATGTAGAGAAGGTTGACGGTGAGGATTGGAGGTTCGGATTTATGTAGAAGGGAGGAGAGATGCAGAGAAGTAGGGAAGGTTGACGGTGAGGAGAATGAGCAAAGGAGGTCACCGATGTTGTTGTTGGAGAGAAGGCACATGGACGGATCCAGAAGCCGGCGTCGT